CCCCCCCTGCTCTTCCAGAGCTGGGGAGAGAACCCAGGAGTCCTGGCTCACATCCCCCCACGCGCTAACACAGCGCCCTGACCTAAGAAGCACTAGATCTTCCTTCCCCATTTCCCACCATCTCATGACCAGTTCTAATGTCGCGCCACTGGATAACCCAGCTGGTCAGGTCAAGCCGGCGTGTCCACCTGCCTGCGCCCCGTCCCCACCCGCATGGAATCCCTGAGGCGGATCCATCCCTCGGTGCTTCTCCAATGACTGATTTCTTCGGCCTTGCTAGGTTGTCCCATCACCCCATGGCTAAGGGAGCTGGGGCTTTAATAACCCCCCTGTAACCAGGGAAAAATCAAATGGAAATGGACCCCAATGTGCCTGTTTCCCTTTGACAGGTACAAGAACCAAACAAATCAAATCCCCTCTATGGCCTCCCGCTAATCCCATGTCATCTCTGGGCAGGACAGAGGGTAGCCAGTGGTGGGTCCAGGACTGTCTACCCTCGGGCCGAACGCTGCCCTTTGGGGAGGACGCTGGATCTCGGCAGTGGGATGGGGACAAGCGGCTGGGACCGGAGCTGCTGATGGACCAAAGGACCCTGGAGGGCAGGTAAGTTGTTGGGGTCACAGGATCCCTCCCAGCTCTCGATGCGGAGACCCGGGCAAAAGCCCGACCGCACACGGCTGCCCCCTGGCCGGACAGCGCCGGGCCGACGGGCACAGGTCCTTGTGAAGGGAGAGGGGCGGGAAAGCGCTGAGGGGACGACAGTTACAAGCCAGTTCCAACCGGTTCGAACCAGCTGTTCGCGCCACAGCTTTGGCGCCTTCATTTCCCCGCCTCTGGGGACAAAACTGGAGATTTGCTGCTGAGTCCCTGTGTGAGCTTCAGGCCACGTCCTCTTCCCCTCTCCTGGCCAGAGCTTGCCCCACTGCAGAGCGGGAGGGAGGGGAGCAGCCAGGGGGCAGTGGGGCTGGGTCGCTCGCTGCCTGGGGAAGGCTTTGGGGAGCCGTGGGGCACTAGCCACACCCAGCGCACACACCCCGTTACTGGCTGTCGGGGCACTGTCGTCCCAGTGGGCGATACCGAGGCAGCCGCCCCTCAGCGATGGTTTGGCCTTTCATAGCCCCAGCCAGCTTCCCCGGGAGCAACGTGTCCCTGCAGAGCTGTCTCAGGCTCCAGACGCTGTTTCACGATCCTGAGCTTCGCCCCCTCTCCGAGCATGCCGGGCGGCAGCTGGATCTCACTGCGTTGAGCAGCAGCATCTCCTCGGATGGCTTCTCGGCAGCTTGCAACCTGCTGCGCAGGGAACTCGGGGGGCACAGCTGATCTTCCCGTAGAGCCCCCACGCTGCATCATTTCATTACCACCACACCCCACTGCAAACCCCTGTCCACTGCCTCCTGCTCGCTCTCAGCTGTGCCTGGTCCCCAAGTTTCTCCTCTCACTGAAGGGAGAAGAACTGGGCCATTCAGCTTGGGCCCGTCTCACTTTCCAGCCAGCTGAGCTGTGAAACACCCACACCACACGCTGTTCAGAAAAACACTTTAATCTGCATTAACAATCCGCACAGCTGCTGCTATCATGTTCAGCGACTCCATTTCGGGACAGAGCCCTGTGAAACTGACCAGCGAATACATTCCCTGGCCCCTCTTTTCCGGTGAGGGACCAGCTCAAACCTTCCAGGCCCTTTTATTAATAAAAACAATTCAGGCCAACAGGAAACCCGTTAGCTCTTCAGTAACTAACCTACTGGGGATTTCAGCCCAGGCCCGTGGGATCATTTTAAACAATAACAGCCTGACCCAAAGGGCCACCATCCATCCCGGCTCCCTGCGCACCAAGGGAACGGGCTGGGAGGTTGCTCAGCGCTAGGACCGAATAGCTACCCTAGTTCCCTTCTCGTTCTCTCCGGTGTTAACCAGGCCTGAGTCCGGTGGAGTCAGCAGGCCTCATTCTTCACTCAATCATTTGAGCAGTAGGAGAATCAGAGCCTCGGACTTGAATGGGGGCAGAATTTGGGCATTTTTTGAGAGAGGTAACACAGAGCACTAGATCCCCCAGCAACACGCCTCCAATCAACGGGACGGTGTCTCCTGCTGGTGTAAGAGCAAAGACACCAATGGCAGGACATTGGTTTATACCAGCGGACGTTCTGGCCTGTCTTTACCAGCAGGGCTAAGACCCATCCCGATGACCGCACCCGAGCCCAGCTGGTGCACTGAAGGCCGTCGCTGGACTATGTGGCAGAAATTAGACCCCAGTTCCCTAGAAATATCTTGCCCGTCAACCCCTGCTGGGAGTGGGCTCTGTGGCTCCGCCTATAACCCTCTGCCCATGCCCCGTGATTGTGCGTTAGTACAAGTGTGGACTTTGCCTTACGCCCACATCGCCCCCCAAAATGGGGAGCGAACTGCACCAAAGTACTGCTAGGCCCCGGTTCTGGTCTGACGTAGACTTGTGTGAATCTGGAGTCACTCCACTGGAGTCTTTCCAGATTTACACACTTTAGAATCCGACACTTGGTTTATGTCAGCAAAAGGCCTGAGTGTCTACCACGCCCACTGGCTTTGCTGGGATGCGAGCGCAGTGAGAACAGACCTGAAGATTATGTTCCCCATTAACTCCTGGACAATCAACAAGCAGCATTTTACGTTTGTCTAAGGGCTGCCCGGTATGGTATTCTCGTGAGCACTGCACTACCCATAGCTTGCAGCAGCTGGGTTCTAACCCCCCTTCCCCAGAACCACGCAGTCTAATTAGCATGGGGGGAGGGAGGGGTATTTTGCTCACCTGCCTGTGAATCTGGATTCACATCAGACAGGCCACACCCACGGGCATCAGCTGGCAGAAAAAACTCTTCCGTTAACAGAACACACAGCGAGCTCCCAACCCACCTCTCTGCAGCTTCCGAACGGAAACGTGGCCGAGAAGAGCTGAAAATTCCTCCTCATGCTGGTAAAAAAACCCCTCAAACAACTATTTTTTTAACCCCTTCATGCTCTGATGACACAATCCCAAAGCCCCCCAAATAGAGGCACAAGCCCAGTTGTTTCCATCTTTAAAAAGTCTTGTTGCTTCTGCCATGCAGGGGCAGGGTCACACTGACCGAAGTCAGGCACTAGGCACCTAAGGATTCGCCCCGGTGCTCCTTGGTCCTGCGCAGAACGAGGCTGGCCAGAAAGAACGGACCAAAGACGTTCCTCAGGCAAAGGGGCGTATTAATTTCAAGGAGACGCATCCCTTGGATTTGTTCTCGGACGGGAGAGGAGCTCACAGAGGTAAATGGAGATCATCATTCTGGCTCACGTGAGAGATTCGTGGAGACCCGCTCCGGGCTCTCAGCTGAGCTTCACCATGACTGTGGAGTTGGTGATCCGTGCGCCGTAGTGTCCCGGCCTGAAATGAGTTTCCTTGCCTCTGTGGAGGAAATGCACATACCGGACGCCGCGGCCGTACTGCCTGAACCGGTAGGACACCTGGGAGGGAAGGAAAAGGAACCCAAATTGATCTCTGGACCCTGTCACAAATCCGTGGGCTCCAGAGAGAGGAGG